TACCGTTGCAGTGTCTGGCGTCGATGCCTCGTCGATGTGCTTCTCGCGGCCAGCGATGACATTGTCCTATTGGGTATCCTGATGTAGCGGGTCTTCCTGCTTCAGATACCCCCAAAATGCATTGGCCCACTGCGATGTCACGCAACTGCTCCAGCTCCGTGAAGGAGCTAGTGTCTGCTAACGGGGCGGCCCTGCTCTCCGCCATGGCAGGGGTTATGATAATGGCGCGCTGGTATTGTTCATTGTTGCCATACTTGTACTTGGTCGCGTCGCGGCGCGGGGTGTCTGACGACCACCTGGAACCTTATGCCGCCCTTGCTGACTTCTATCCACGCAACGCAACGCCACCCCTGAGCACGATGTCCCGCAGCATCCACGGCCCCCTGAGACACCCGCCCTCGATGGCAAACTTGTTGGTCACTCGGCGCGGGCGCGACGCGGCCGCTCGGGCGGGGCCGAGGCGGCCGTCGATCGGGCAGATGCGGCTGCGACGCACTGCGACGATGTCGCAAAAGCACGCACGAGGACTCCAGCACGCAACCCACGCACGGGATATGCCGCGGCAGCGGCAACATATCAACATCCAACCGCGAATGATTTCTCACGCGAGCCACCGCATCCACATGATGAGTATTAGTATCCATCGCTGCGCCCTGCAGGCGCGCGGCCCTGCGCGCGGCGCGCAGGCGCCTCATCTGGCCCCCCTTGCAGCCCCACTCTCGGGCCCGCCGCCTGTCGCAGCGCGCGCCGGCTTGCCGGCGAGGGCGGCCACCGTGTCTGGCGGCGCGCGCAGCGTGTGACCATCGGCAAGCTTCTTGCTGTCAGTCAGCACTGGCACCTCCATGACGCTGGCCGCTGCCATCTCCATGGCCACGGCGGCCGTCGCCGCCGCGCCCTCGACGACTAGCCGGAACGCAGCGGCCGCGCTCGACGCGAGCTCCCCCAGGCCGCAGGTGCCAGCTGATGGCGCGGAAATGTCTTTCCTCAGCTTGAATAGTGGCGCGAGCACCGCATTGCGCGCGCCATTCTCGAATGGGCCCGCGCCCGTCATCGCGCGCGCTGCCGCCCGAGACGTCGCCCGTCGGCTTCTTCAGGATGATCGCAGGCGCGATTGGGACGAGGGCGAGCGCATCCTTCTCGAACGGCTTCTTGACCTGCAACGCGCGGGACTTCATCGGGGCAACTACGCCTTTGAGGTGTTCCAGGAAAGCCTCACGTCTGCCGAAAAGCAAGTCTAAGGCGAGATTGATCTGGCTGTCCTAGGTGCCCCATGCGCCAATCCATGTTGCCGGTCGGATTGTACTCGTCGAATCGGTCGATGTTTTCCTTCGCGACATGCGCGCAGCGAACTTGCCCTGCAAGAAACCATCTGCATCCTTGATGCACTCCTCGCCTCGAGGCCCGATTTGATCTGAAGTGCTGCCTCTCCTTCCTTGACGCCGAGCACGGCGGTGCCCGCCTTGAACCCTTTTGCCCTGTCACGCTTCACTCTGGTCTATCAATTCGCCTTGTTGGTCGTGCTTATTCACTGTGGCATCGGGCTTCTGCTCGGACAGCGACGCGGCCGCGTCGGACTGCTTCTGCTGGAAAGGCGCGGGCGCGTCTTGTCCGCGCTGCTTGCCAACAGTCGAAGTCGATGTTCTAGATGAAGGCGTGGCCGACGCCGCGGGACACGTCGGGCTCGTCGAAGACATGGCGAACGACCCTGACGTCTGCCAGCCCGACGGCGGTGCCCCAAGCGGCGTTCTCGCGGGGGGGGCCAAGTTGGATTGCGACCTCTCGCAAGTTCACCAGCGCTGCCTCTCCCAGCATTCCGATCTGGGCTTTCTCATCAGCCTGCAGCGATGTGATATCGCTAGTCTTCAGCAGAATTTCGTCGCCCCCCCTTAGAATATTCCTCAAACGCCGAGCTCATTGCCTTCATGCAGGCAAGTCGGAAGATCGGCGCCGAGCCCTCGTTGCCAATCTTGACCGTGGCAAGGGATGATGCCGCGTTCCTCCGCACCACGGTGGCCCTTTTCAAGTGTTGACCAACATCGCGAAGCTCGTGCAACGCCCATGGGTTCCCGACACCGCCGCTCAGTTCCTGCGCGTACCCGCATAGATACGGCACCTCGCGTTTGCATGGGATGCCAGACCCTCTGCAAGCCTCGCGCCGCACGCTTGCCCATGGAATGTTGTGGTTCGGGCCCTGCGGCTGCTTCTTCTTTGCGGAGGCCGCAATCTTGAGCACGACTTCCAATCCACCCCCCAGCTTGTGCAACGCCATGGCCTGCATTGCCAGCCTCCCAGGCCAAGGGCGGCATGATGGCAAAAGCCTCAACGAACGGCCATCTGAATACATCCCACACGGTGCCCCCGCTCCCAACTGTCCCAGCTGCAGCATACAAGGGCCGAGCTTCGCAGAACCGCGACAACGAGACCTTACCATCCTGAGGAGTTGTCGCAAACCACTGGGGATCTGTTTCGGGCACTGGTGTCCCCGTCGTCCTCATACGGA